GACATCTTTGAGCGTCCTGAAAAAAGGTGTTGCGTTATGTTTCAACGACATAAATGATCGCCTGATAATCACGCTCCTTGTACGTGACGCCGAGCCGACGGATGGCGATCGCGTGATCTACCACTGAACCAATAACGAAGTCGATTGATCGTGCTGGCAATCGACCATTGGTAGTTAAGAATGCGTACGGGGGTTCCGGTCTCTCGTCCCCGGGACGAGCCTCACTATTTTGTCGTTTTTCGGACGGGCTCGTCGTCAAAAACAATCAAGTACCTCGTAGACTAAGGCAGTACGGTGCGCGTGATAAAACGCGGAGAATAGCGATACTCCGCCACTGATTGTATATCCGCGATTAGTGAGTTTTCGTGTACGCTGTTCAGCGCCTTTATTGCATTGGTTGCAAAGAGCCTTCGCACCGAAACCGTGCCGAACGTGGCCTGTGAGCCCATATTGTGTATCCTCGGTTGTGAATAAAGACTGTCTCATCACCTCAGTAACATTTATTTTACCCAAGGTTCAGCGCGCCGTCTCCCATTCGGGAGAGAATTCCCGCAATTCCACACATAAAATTTGGTCCTTCGAGCCGGATCGGCGCGCGACAGTGACAATCATTTGGCGGATCCATCGGCATACGACCGCGTCAATTATATCGTTGATCATTACTACCGAGGTGATCATTCCGCGGAACACGTACGAGCGGAACATTGTGGGCAAGTCCAAGCAATCGTACTTGCATATCATTAGTGTCAGGTCAACCTTGTGCTGTAAGGATGGAAGGGCTATTGGCCGAACAAAAGGTGACGCTCAAATCAATCACTCGCTCATTGGAGAATTTTAAAAAAATCGGAAAAGACAATCTCACGTACGGAATCGTGCGATCCCGCCTGCAAAAATGAAGGATGATTATGCTCGATACGAGCATACACATGCCAAGGTACTCGCTCTCGCAACCGAGGACTTCGTCGCCACCCACAAATATTTCACCGAGGACCGATTCTCCGCTTGTGAAGCAGCATATTATACCGCCTCTGATTACATGGCCGAATGGGAAGCGCAGCTGGAACCCCAAGCGACATCCACTCCCGAGCCGTCATCCATCGTAAGCCATCGTCAAAACGTCTTCACATCCCGGTCAGCGTTTCAACTTCCGCGTATAAGCTTGCCGAAGTTTTCCGGCGAATTTAGCGATTGGGAATCGTTTCGCGATCAATTCAAAGCGTTGATAATCGAGAACAGTGATCTCGTAGATGTAAATCGCCTGCAATATTTACATTCCTGCGTGAAGGGCGACGCGTTCGATATCGTGCGAAATCTCGCGTTAGTCGATTCGAATTTCAAGGTCGCCTGGGACTTATTAATAGCACGCTACGATAACAAAAGACGCTTGGTGCACGAGCATATTCACGAGTTGACATCACTCACGCCGATTAATTCCGAATCCGCGTCCGCGCTTTCCGCGTTAAGAGATAAAGCGAACGTGGCAATTAAAGCGTTAAAACATCTCGGGCGGGCGGTGGACCAATGGGACGATATTCTTGTATATTTGATCGTGCAAAAATTCGATAAGGCCACTCGAAAAGCGTGGGAATTACAGCTCGGAGATACAACCGAGTATCCCACGTTTGATAGTCTCGAACAGTTTTTAACCTCGCGTATACGCGCTTTTGAGAATATTCTGCCGTTCAATAAGGGCAAGACTTCGAATCAGCTGTCGGTGCAAAGCCATGTAACAAATACAAGTGCAATGAAATGTCCCGTTTGTCAGAAACCGCATCTATTATTTGCGTGTCCGGAATTTCGAAATAAACCCGCAAGCGAACGTCGAGAAATAGCTCAAAGGGTTCGGTGCTGTTACAATTGTCTGAGTACCAAGCATAATCGGAAAAATTGCCAAAGCAAACATACGTGTCAACAGTGTCAACAGAAGCATCATACTCTTCTCCACGAAGGCGACACGAGTAAAGTTAATGAAGCACGCTCTCCGACTGCGAGCACCTCGACGGCGGATGAACCCGTCTCGATTAATACGCACGTTGTTCACGCGTTAACTTTTCAAAAACTGGCATTCTACTCGCGACAGCTTGGGTCGCGGTTCATAGCGCTACCGGCACCCGGGACGTCGTACGCGCATTATTGGATCAGGGCTCGGTCACAACTCTCATTTCAGAACGATTAGCTCAACGCTTGCGACTTAAGCGATCTCGTGTTTCAGTCTCGATAACAGGCATCGGATGCGCGGCGTCCGTTGCCAAACAAGCAGCACGGATTGACATCTCCCCCCGCGACATGTCAGGTCCTGTGTTGTCCGTGACTGCTTTGATATTAAAGACATTAACAAATTATATTCCACAGCGCGTGGAATTCTCGCCGAGTTGGAATATCTGCGCTCTCTCAATCTAGCCGACAGCGATCCAACAAGCTCGGAGCCCATCGATATCATTATTGGAGCTGACCTTTACGGATCAGTTCTGAGATCAGGCATTCGATCGCGATCTTCACAAGAACCCGTAGCGCAAAACTCCATTTTCGGGTGGATTCTCTCCGGACCTATGTTCACGGAACTAGAGTCCGCCTCCCATCAGTTATCGACGCATCACTGCACAGTGCATGCGGACCTCGATATGCAGTTGAAGCGCTTTTGGGAGATTGAAGAACTCCCTCGTTCGCGTCACATCTCTCCGGAGGAAAAGCGGTGCGAAGAACATTTCGCGTCGACTCATTCTCGCTCTCCGACCGGGAGATACATAGTCAGGCTCCCATTCAAAACGCCTCCTCCATTGAGCCTCGGCGATTCAAGGTCGGCGGCTCTAGCCTTGTATACTCGAGCCGAAGCTCGTTTGAAAGCGCGGCCTGAACAAGCAACCGAATACCACGCGTTTTTACAAGAGTATAAACAATTAGGACACATGATGAAAGTGTCATCGCCGCGCCACAATTCTAATCAAATAATTTACATTCCTCATCATGCAGTCATACGTGAACACAGTGCCACGACCCATCTGCGTGTCGTGTTCAATGCCTCCTCGCCTACGTCAAATGGTTTGTCGCTTAACGATCATCTCATGATCGGTCCGAAGTTACAAACCGATTTGCCATCGATCCTCACGCGCTGGCGACAGTTTCGCTATGTCTATACTGCAGATATTGCAAAAATGTATAGGCAAATTTTAGTTGATCAACGCGACACCGACTATCAACGGATTCTTTGGCGATCCGATGTCGACGCTCCGATAGAAGACTATCAATTGCAAACCGTGACTTACGGTACAGCAAGCGCACCTTACTTGGCCATCCGAGTTTTAAACCAACTCGCTCTCGATGACGGCCATGACTTTCCCGCCGCAGTACCAGTCCTTCAACAGCATACTTATGTTGATGATTGTGTTTTCGGCGCAGACGATATACCGCTCGCTCGTAAGACAAAGGATCAGCTTGTATCCTTACTCAATAGAGCAGGCTTTCAACTTCGCAAGTGGGCAAGCAACAATCAGTCGTTGCTTGCTGATATCGATCCTCATGATCATGGTCTGGCGCAAGCCAAGACCCTGCAAACGGACGATTCTCTAAAGGTCTTGGGTCTCAAATGGAACCCATACGTTGACGCGTTTCAGTTTGAAATATCGCTGTCGACCGAGGTTCCTGCAACAAAACGCGCCGTTTTAGCGACCATCGCTACCATCTTTGATCCACTTGGGTGGTTAACACCCGTCGTAATAACAGCGAAGATCTTTATGCAAAAACTGTGGACGGCGCGATGTGAGTGGGACGCCGTACTTCCCCATGAATTGTTCGCTGCTTGGCGTAGCTACTACGCGCACCTATCGACTCTGCGCGAGATTTTAATTCCGCGATGGAACGGGTATGGGTCCGACACGGTTTCAGCGGAAATTCATGGATTCGCAGACGCGTCTACTGCCGCGTATGGAGCCGTCGTTTATTTAAAACTGACCAAACGTAACGGATCAGTCAAAATCACGTTGATGAGCGCGAAATCTAAAGTCGCCCCGCTTAAACCCCTCACGGTTCCGCGGTTGGAATTATCCGCGACGGTGTTATTAGCTCGCCTCATTGCATTCGTGCGAACTCTGATCCCTATCCCTTCAATGATTTGTCACTGTTGGACAGATTCCACGGTCGTACTAGCATGGCTCAAGCAATCTCCCGCTCGATGGAAATTTTCGTGGCCAATAGGGTCCACGAGGTTCAAAGTCAAGTTCCAGACGCGATATGGCACCACGTTCCATCACCGCAAAACCCTGCCGATCTCGCTTCACGAGGCGTCCAGCCGGCCGACCTAAAGGAGCATTTATTATGGTGGCAAGGCCCCGCGTGGCTTCAGTTACCCTCGACTCAATGGCCGGAGGAAGTGAATCTGTCACAACAGAGTCGCTTACGGAGGCTCGCGCTCATGTACATATCGCTCAAACCCCCAACGAATGGGAATTAATGACGCGGTTTTCGTCATGGACAAAATTATTGCGAGTGACCGCATATATACGGCGATTCACGCAACGTCTTCGATATCGCCGGTCACAGCCATTGGCGAGCCCTAACGCTCCGGTGAACATCACCAAACTATCGCTGTCGCTAGCACCGGATGAGATTGATTCCGCGCGAAAATTTTGGTTGAAGTCCATTCAACAACAACTGTTCTCGACAGAGCTGTTACGTTTAAAGGATGGTAAGTCCGTGCAAAAGGGCAGCAAACTAGCCTCCTTAAATCCGTTCCTCGACAACGACGATTTAATTCGAGTCGGAGGCCGACTCCGTCATTCCGAACTCGCCGAAAAACGAAACATCCAATTGTACTCGCATCGCATTCATTAGTCTCGTCTCTTATACGTCACATTCATCTACATGCTCTGCACGCCGGATCGCGCTTGACGTTGTCAATTCTTCGCGAAGACTTCTGGTTAATCCGCGCTCGCCAAACCATACGGTCAGTTCTTTACCATTGCATCGCCTGCACTCGTGAAAACGCAAAAATCATTCCCGAGTTGATGGGCGATCTTCCGGATTATCGAGTTCGCCCTGTTGCTCGCGGGTTTTCTCACTGCGGAATCGATTATGCCGGACCAATTAAAGTGCGAACGACACCGGGACGGGGACACAAGTCGCAAAAGGCATATATCGCCATATTTATCTGCATGACTGTTAAAGCGACTCATCTGGAACTAGTAGGTGATTTGTCAACGCCGTCTTTCTTGGCTGCTTTCGATCGGTTCTGTGCTCGTCGAGGTGTTCCAACCGCGATGTATTCGGACAACGCAACTAATTTTCAGGGAGCTCAACGCGAACTAGCTACTGCTTGGCATACGGCTACTCACGATTCGAATATTTTAAACAACCTCGCGGAGAAAGGCATCAGTTGGAGATTCATTCCTCCGTCCTCTCCACATTTCGGTGGATTATGGGAGGCCTGCGTTCGGAGCGTTAAGTTTCATCTAAAGCGCGTCATCGGTGCTCACACGCTCACAATCGAAGAGATGAGCACCTTATTATGTAAAGTCGAAGCGTGTCTAAATTCGCGGCCTCTCGGGCAGATGTCGGATAATTACGATGATTATCACGCTCTTACTCCGAGCCACTTTCTCATTGGATCCTCGATGCTAACGATACCAGAAACGTCTCTACTCGACGAAAAGGAAACGCGTCTTACCCGATGGCAGCTCATTCGTCAAATGCGCGATAGTTTATGGAAGCAATGGTCACAGGACTATCTGCACACGTTGCAACAACGGCCTAAGTGGCGTGAAAGGCAGAGTTTAGCCCGGGTAGGGCGCTTAGTACTATTGCGAAATCCGCTAGCGCCTCCCTGCGCTTGGGAACTTGGGAGGATCGTGGAATGCCATCCGGGAGACGATGGCTTAGTCCGGGTCGTTACTGTCAAGACAGCCCGCTCAAAGTACAAGCGAGCCGTCACAAAATTATGTTTTCTACCGATTGACGTGAATCTAACCCATGACGCTGCGGATGACATTCCACGAGCCATCTCTGCTGATACGTCTAAAAATTAAATTCCATTGTAAACTCTATACAAAGATGTGGTATACATGAAAATAAATGTAGTGAAGTCGCGCTCATGTACTAATCAACATCGTCACGGCGGGCGGCGCGATTATGATTTCATCGTTCGGAAAGATCCGAGGCGGGCGGTATGTTGCGTTATGTTTCAACGACATAAATGATCGCCTGATAATCACGCTCCTTGTACGTGACGCCGAGCCGACGGATGGCGATCGCGTGATCCTACCACTGAACCAATAACGAAGTCGATTGATCGTGCTGGCAATCGACCATTGGTAGTTAAGAATGCGTACGGGGGTTCCGGTCTCTCGTCCCCGGGACGAGCCTCACTATTGTGTCGTTTTCGGACGGGGCTCGTCGTCAAAAAACAATCAAGTACCTCGTAGACTAAGGCAGTACGGTGCGCGCGATAAAACGCGGAGAATAGCGATACTCCGCCACTGATTGTATAGCCGCGATTAGTGAGTTTTCGTGTACGCTGTTCAGCGCCTTTATTGCCTTGGTTGCAAAGAGCCTTCGCACCGAAACCGTGCCCGAACGTGGCCTGTGAGCCCATATTGTGTATCCTCGGTTGTGAATAAAGACTGTCTCATCACCTCAGTAACATTTATTTTACCCAAGGTTCAGCGCGCCGTCTCCCATTCGGGAGAGAATTCCCGCAATTCCACACAAAGGTATGCATATATCAATGACAAAACGTATCTGGCATACATCTTTGAATATTTTCTTAATATATGTTAATTCTTTCATATTATTTATTAACGTCATTAAATACTTTTGTGAAAAAATAGAATTTAAATAAATTATATATATTGTTATAACAAATCAAATATTTCGAGTTCCTTTTTTATAAAGTACTTAATAAGTTAATATAAAATTATAAATTCGGAAGTAATTAATACATATCAAGAAAATGTTCAAAATGTATTCTATATAGATACGTTTTTTTCAATGATTTTATTCCGAACGCTCAGACATCAACAAAGTTACATATTTATTTTTATATTAATTTGAATCGTAATTTTGTTATTATATTGCAACAATTACACGGTTTTTACAGATATGTATACGCATTGGTGTCAACAAAATAATGTTATTACTTATTTAAAATATGTTACAATTATGTCATTAGAGTTACGTATAGTATTTATTAAGTTTTTAGAAGATACACATTACATTTACCATATATATACGTAAATATGACGAATTTAACATAACGTTGCAATTATATCATTAAATTACGTAGTATTGTATTTTCGAAACATTTCGAGTATACACATTTATATCCACCAAAATACATAAATGTTACATACCAAAATAACGTCAAAATTACATAACAAGTCTATGTAAACAATTATAGCTTTATTACGTTATTAACATAAACGAAACGTCATAGTTTCGTTTTGATGATCTGTAATATATACATATAAAACATTATGTAATTATACATAAATGTATTTTTTTGAAATTATTTATGTTCTTTGTTTTTTAAGACGCGTAATTAGCAAATTAGATTTTATCTGCATTATGCGTCTTTATAAGTTTATGTGAACTCGGCCTTCTGATTAAGTTTGGCCATGATTGGCTTAAGTGTGCACGTGCGCAATCGCCAAAGTGTCCCACGCAGTCCGCGCTTTACTTTCAATATGGCAGCAGTACGAATACGGTAGTCATACATGATTGAATGTCGTCTCGAAAGTGAGAACAGTGTGAAGATTTTGGTAAGTAAAAGATAAGAAATAATTCAACATATTAAATACTAATAACTGATAATGATTGCGTTATGTTAAAATATTAATTCTAAAGACTGAATTTCTGTATAGAAACCAGACACACCATGGAAAAATCACGTGAAAGCTGCGTGGCTATATCAAAGGACATACCGGCACCGGCGGCATTAGATACACCTCGTGCCTCATTCTTCTTATGTTTGGTAAGTACAATTCATTTTATTCAATATCATATTTCCCATCTTTTCGCATGATTTCTTGCACGAGCATATATGTAAATGAGAAAAATAACCTATTATTCGCACTGCTTTTTCCAATCATTAGAAGGTTAAATATTTCGAGTGTAAAGATCGGATTTCATTACCTCATAATAATTATAGATTTTTTTATTATATTTTGCATTGCACTAAAACTAAATGACGATCTACAATTTTTCTTATAATGATATCGTAATGGTAATTAATCTAATAAAAATGATATTAATGATTAAATAGCTAATATTGTTGAGCAAGTAATTATTGCATTAGAAAAAACTGTAGATATATACATATATTTTTTGGAATATTTCACATATGTTATACAATTTATTATTGAATTTTCTCATAGTATAGCTCAATTGCAAATAAAAGAAAATCTTTATAATTAATACATTTTTCTACGCATGAGTCTTAATTTTTTAATTTAGTGTTATTTGATTTGAATTAATTTTGTGCGAACCAATTTTATTCAAGTAAAATATTGAAATAAAACATGATAGCTTTAACTATTGAAATTCATTGTATAATGAAGTTGTAGATCTTGAAAAAGTGTTAATATTATATGTAGTATGCTTA